GTCGTCGTCGTCGGCGGCGTCGTCGACGGCGTCGGCGTCGGCGTCGGCCTTGTCGGCCTCGTCGGCCTCGTCGGCGTCGTCGGCTTCATCGTCGGCGTTGCCCCCCGAGTGCCTCCGCTCCGACGCGCGGAGCTCGGCGCGGCAGGCCGCCTCGCTCGCCCGCAGCTCCCTAACCTCCTCCGCGGCGGCGGCCCTTGCCCGCCGCACCATCGCCGCCTCCTCGCCCTCCATGCGGGCCTCCTCTCGGGTGCGCCCAGCAGGGGGGGGGGCAGGAAGAAGGCTGGGCAGCAACACCTGGGAGGTCTTCGTGAGAACGATCAAGGGCTAGCAGGCCCGGCTGAGCGGTTACCAGGCCAGCGAGGGGGGGGCAGGAAGAAGCCGACGCCGACGACGCTGACGACGACGCCGCCCGCGCCGATGCCGCCGCCGACACATCCTGGCCATCCATGCGGGCCCTCCTCGGGTGCGCCCAGCGAGGGGAGGGGGGGCAGGGAGAGACGCCGACGCCGACGCCGACGACGCCGACGCCGCGGCCTCCTGGCCCTCCGTGCGGGCTTTCTCTCGGGTGCGAAGAGACGCCATCGCCGACGCCGACGCCGACGCCGACGACACCGCCGACGACGACGACGCCGCCGTCGACGCCGCCGCCGCTGCATCCTCGCCCTGCATGCGGGCCTCCCCTCGGGTGCGCCCAGCCTGCCATCTCTGTCGGACGTGCATTCCCCCCAGGAGTTGCACTGCAATGTCCGGCTTCGAGCGTGTGCGGCCTCAAGACGATCCTAGCTGCTCCGAGGCGCTCCAGGCCCTCTGGCGCCTGGACTCGCCGAGAAAGGCAACCGTCCGAGCGGTGCCCCGCCAACTGGAGGGGAGCCGCCGCCGCCAGCTCTCATCCGTCTCCTCCTGTCTGCTTCCCACTCCTCCAGGTCATTCCTGTCCTCCTCTGCTCTCCTCGTTCTCCTCGTTCTCCTCCTCCTCCTCCTCGTCCTCCTGATTCCTCCTCCTCCGCCTCCCCCGCCTCCTCCTCCTCCTGCTCCTCCTCCTCCTCCTCATGTTCCCTTTCTTGCCCCCCGCCGGCGCTGACGACGACACAGCCGACGCCGACGAAGACGACGACGCCGCCGCCTCGCCCTCCATGCGGGCCCCCTCCCGGGTGCGCCCAGCGAGGGGAGCCATGAAGAAGGGTTAATTAGGCAGTAACGCCTGGGAGGTCTCCGTGGGAACAATCAAGGGCTATCATGAGGCCCGAATCATGAGGCCCGATTGATACTTCACTGGGCCAAATTAGTTCAGAGCAGGCCTGGGATGGGCCTGGGATTGAGCCAGATTCGGTGAAACGCGGGAGTGACCCTAGGCAAGAGTGACTTTTCGTGCGCGGACTGAGGGGGCGCAAGATGGCCAAGTCCAAGCGCGCAAGCAGCCACTGTCGCATCGCGCTCAGCGGTTGGGGGGACCACCGTGAGCCCGCACCAAAGGTCACTCCTGCGAAGGGTCTCTCTTTACGTGTGGTAGACAGATTAAGCGGGATCATGCCACATTCGGGGATGGAAAGAACCCCCTTTCGTAAAACGTGGTTTAGTGAAAACGACCTCGGGCCCAAACCTGGCGGGCGCAAGCCTGGAAAATGACGGCCGCGGCGCCCTCTCGAGTACCGAAAACTGGCAACTCACTATTCGACGTGTCAGAGTGGGGGGTCTGTCCACCCCCGACACATTAGAAAAAGCTTCGACCATGGGTATACCAGCGCCGATGTTGAACTTCATCTCCCAGGAGTATCATCCCAAGAGAAGGGGAGGGCGCCAGCCCGCTTCGGGCCATGAACAACAACACGACGAAGGACGAAGGGTCTTTGGGCAAGTCCTGCTCCTCCTCGTCCTGCTCCTCTGTCATTCTCCTCCTCCTCGATCCTTCTCCTCCTCCTCCTCCTCCAACACCTCCTCCTCCTCCTCCTCCTCCTCCTCCTCCTCCTCCTCCTAAGATGGCAAGCCTGTCCCGGGGAAGTGGTCTACTACAGCCTGGTTACTGACACAAAGAACGCCATATGAAAGAAAGAGACCCTTCGGGCGCCGCAAGCGCAGGGATTCACGATGCGGGACAGATGAACAACCACGGAGTGGCCTAAGGACCTTCTTTCAGCGTCTCGGCTGTAGACCTTTGGAGGCCCATGCTGTTGGCAAAATCACGGCGTCGCGTGCCCGAGGCCAGCGCGCCATGGCCGGAGGCACGTGCGCGAATGAGGGGCGGGCAGGCAACGCAATGAACGAAGGAGATAGAGCCCTGATACCCACACAACCCTACAATCAAACCTGGGACAGAAGAACACCCTTCAAGAACCTGAGACGCTCCGCCGGCCAAACCGAAGAGCCCTCGAGGGTGCCCTCTCCCAGGATGCACAAGAACATCCAACATACATCAAGGACACCAGGGTACCTCCCCGAACCGACTTCGATCTTATACCTCGGTCTGGCTGTAGTCCACACGGTCTCTTGGACGCTGCTTAAGCATGACGGAAGCGGGACTTGCCCTGGCTACTTCTTCATCCTGGATCGTTTTGTTGACAATCCTGGGGTCCTGGGGAACACCCGCCGAAGCCAACAACAACCAAGGAAAGCATCAGGACCCATTTCCGTCGTTTATGACCCCTTTGTTTCTGGCGACCCAAATATCCGATGTATTGATGTCCCCCGAATATCCCGACACTTTCCCCAGGGCTGGCGTTTCATCCGGAGTCCTTTTTTGACGGTGCCAGGGCCCGACGAAGGCGCCCAGAGGTCTGAATCGGCAAAACAGATCCGCATATGATGTTTCCCCAGAAGTTGCGCTTGCGCTTAGGAGCTGGCGCCCGCGGCCGCCAAGTCGCCGCCTCGTGTTGTGGGTGGGATCGGCGACATTTAACCACGTTTCCGCCCGTGGCCGCCTCGTGCGTTGGATGGGTCTGGCGAGACTTCACCACGCTGCTGCCCGGGGCTGCCTAATGGCGCACCGTGTGTACAGTACGCCACTCGCATTTCATGGATTGTACGACCCAGCTTGCTCACACCACGTCGAATGCACCACGTAGCTTACAGCGCATGGCTCACACGACATAGATTGCATTGCGTGCTTTGCACCACATACACTGCACCACATACACTATACCACGTTGCTCACGCTACGTACCTTGCACCACCTACATTGCACGTCGCAGCTTCCATCACACAACCCATACCACATAGCCTGCACCACATTGCCTACAGCGCGTAATTCACAACATGCTTATTGCACCATACGTGTTGTGCCACACCTCCCAAAGCTTACCCATCGCAATACCCACGCCACATAGATCACACATCCATTGGCCACACCACAATCAGATATCCCTCTCGCCAAACACTCCCCCATCAGCGGCAAGGCGGTGAACTCCGCCCCAGCGAGGAGCTAGATAGGGGCACAAACTAGCGAATTGGCCGGCGAGCAAAGGGGGGGGAGGGGGCGGCCGAGAGGAAGAAGGGACGCTCAGACGCAGAAGAGTTCAACGATGAGCAACGGGGGGGGCAGCAGCAGCCAGGCGCGCAGGGCCAGAGCGCGGTGGGCGGCCGTGGCGAACCACGGTGGCAAGGGTGGCGGAGAGCGGCAGCCAGCGGCTGGAGCTTGCGGGGGGCACAGTGGGGCACCACGAACGACGTAACCCTCTCGCCAAACACCCTGCATGTAGACACTTACTCTGGCTCATACCCAGCGGGCGCAGGCCCGTACACGGTTCTGCGCCTGCGCCCTCTCGAGGACCGAGAAAGGGCAGCCCGCTGACCGACTTGGCAGGGCAGAGGTTCGGCGAAGGCACCAGATGCAACCGGATCATGGACGCATCTGAAAGCGCCCTGGGGCAAGCACAAGCAAAAAGGCACACATCCCAGGGTGCCCTACATGTTTCTTATGTTTGGGATGTTCGTCCCCCCAACTTGCCATATTTCCATACTTTTTCCTGGGGATCGACGATTGGATGTGTCTGTGTGCTTTTTCACCTCTTGAACATCCACAAGACAACGCTGGTAATGAGGGGCAACGACACGGGGGAGACTGGCATACGGAGGGCAGCATCGAGCGGCAATCGGCGATGCGTCGACGATAGATCGGCGATAGGCCGCCGACAGCGAAACCTCACGTGACTGGGCGGGGTGGGCAATCGGGCCCCTATCGGCGATCAAGGGGCGATTGTCGGGCGCTGGCAGGACTAAAGTTAGTGGGCCTTGTGTAAACAGGTCTACCGTGGGTCACCCCCCCGCCTCATTCCACTAACCAGAACTGCCGTCACCCGAAAAACACCAGCCACGGCATGCCTGGTGATTCTGGTATATGTTTGGGTCCCGGGGCCCCATCACGAACGCGCTCCCCTGAACCGGGCTCCTGGCTATACCCGAGATTGAAGGTCGATGCATCCCCCTCTGAACCATCCCCCCCACTATCGTTTGAGAAGGGACCGGCCGTCTGGGCATTCCTATAGGCCTACCACGACATGTATGTCGAACCCCAAAGTGTTCTAAAAACAAAAACAATGCTTTCATAACATTAACCCGATGTGTTAAAGCAAGAGAGCTCCAGCCAGAGATGTTCTGAAAACGTCCCGCGGAAACCACACAAGGTCCTTAGGACACTTTCTTTGGCAGGCCTATCGGCGAGCCAGGACGCTTCGCCACTGCTTGCATCGCTGCCCCGGAAGCAAGCATTTTGGACGCCCGAAATGGGTACCGAAAAAATTGGTACAATGCCCAACAACAAATGTTGTCCCAAACCAACAGCGGCCGCTGTAGGGCAGGCGGCCTCCTGTCTCGAATGGACACAGGCCGCGGCGGCGTGGACAGCGAGCCCTGTTCAAAATGAACCAGATCCGCTGTTGGGCATTGTACCCATTCTTTCAGTACCCCTTTCGTGCGTGCAGCAAGCATGGACAACACCCTGGAGCTTCGGAGCTCTTGCGGCCGCCTGTCCTCCGCCCGCGTGGAGCGCGCCGGCCGCACCGGCGCCTCCTCGCCCTGCGCCGCCTCCGCCGCCTCGGAGGACGCCGCGTGCCTCGCGGGAGGGCCTCGCTGCCTGCACCGCGCCGTCTGGCCGGCCAAGGAGCCAGGGAGCTCTGCAGAGGACTACGGTGTAGCGACAATCGGCGGTGGACAAACCTCCCTTCAGTAAACCTCCCTGGAGTAGAAACGGCCTGGGACCGAAACCGACGGACCTGGACCCGCACAAATGACGGCCGCGACGCCCTCTCGCGAACCGAGAACGTCCAATTTGCTAATCGACGCGTCAGGGTAGGAGGTTCATCAACCTCCGAGACGACCCAGGAGACAGAACGGCTGGCTCTATGGCAGACGAGCACCCTTCAAGAGCATGGGCCCCGCCGCGGGCCACAGGAGCATCCAACAACCACGAAGACCACTAGGGCACCCCCCAGAACCGACCTCGATCTTCATACTTCGGTCCGACCGTCTTGGATTTTTCGGTGACAGCCTGGGCTTTCCGGTCAGGGGAGGGGTGGGGGAGGTGCAGACCGATAAACTGACCTAACCTTCTCGCTCTGGGCACCCCCGCGTATGCCCGCGCGCACCACAGCTGGATACCACCTCGGACCTGCGCAGCGGACTGGCAAGGTGAGGTTATCCGGAGGGAGGGGGGAGGGCAAGCGGCCCCGATGACCCGGGTGATCGCCGGACCTCGAACAAAAATGCTCTCTTTCCGTGTAGAGGGCGCTGTAGCGTCCCACAGAGAGGTCACCGCGATTCCAGACGCGTGAGACGCCGCAGTGCCTCTGCGCCGAGCTCCGTCGCAGACCTCCACTGGCTCCCTGGCGCTCCCAGACTTCTGCGGCAACTCGTGGGAGCATCCCATGTCATCTTGCTGGCTCTTGCGAATCGACGCCCGCCGACGCCAATCGACGCTGACCGACGCCACATCGGCGCTGATCAACATGGACTCAGCGGATTATTCTCGACTACCAGACGCCAACGCACGCGAATGCACCATGAAAACGGAGTACCGAGGGCACACATCGGGGTAGAAGCAATGGCATAAGCACAAACTGTCGGAGGTGCGCGCCGATTTCGAGGAGCTGCGCTGGACCTCCCAGGCGGCGGGCGCCTTCGGCGCCGCCCATGGCACGCTCCGTGCGCGAGGGAGGGGTGTCCAATGCCCATCCAAGAGATCCGCGCGGACCTCCGAAAGGTTATGAGTATCTCGTTGCTTGTCCCCCGGATACAATCGAAATCTGTCGCAAGGACGGGCAGTGCGGACGCCAGGGGCCTCTGACACCAGCATTGACACTCTTCGGGAAGGGGCTGCCAACGCCCTGACGGGCAGGCCAGCGAAAGCCACCAAGGACGGGCCGCAGAGGCCAGGGCGCGAGGGGCACCCCAAGGACACCCTTTGCGTCCTCCCCTTGGACTCTGCCTTTGCAGTTCGGTCGGGCGCAACCTACAGGCGGATTTTGGACGAACAATAAAACATACCCCCAAAATATTCAAAACATATCCAGAAATTGTCAAAAACAACATCGTCCCCAGACTAGTTTTTGACTATCTTTGGATATTCCCCCTGTAGAGGGACAGGCCCGAGTTTAAAAGCGTACAGAGCCCCCACGAGCTGCTGCCGAACCGAACGAGGCGGCGTGCACGCCGAGCCCCCCCCCCCCCCCGACGCCTCGCCGCGTGCTTGCGCGCGGCCTGCACCTCGGCCGTCAACCGCCTCCGCTCATCCGCGTGCTGGGCAGCGGCCGCCTCCTTTCGTGAGAGGCGGGGGCGTCCGTCCATGAGCCGCCGCCTGGGGGCCGCTCCTTCGGGAACCTCGGCGGGCGGTGGATGCCTTGCGCGCGTTTCGATGGAGGCCCCTGTCGGTTAGGCGGGAGCGAGGTCCACGCGGAGCACTGCGGGCGCCAAGCACAGACACCATCACCACCACGTCGATTCGTTCCTCCCTCCTCCTCCCTCCTCCTTCTCTCTCCTCATTTCCTGGTGGACGGGCGGGGTGGGGGAGGTGGTGGTGGTGTATATGCTTGGGACCCGTCGGGCAAGCCCATTCGGAATTCTCGGCCTCCGTGGGGACTTGCTTCGTCTGCATCTGGCCTCTCCGAATAGCCCATTTGAGCTACGGCGGATAGCGGCAAATGGCGGCAATGGGTTTGCGGCACGCAGCAGCACACGCCCCGCGCCAACTTTCCACCGATCATCTCCAATTAGCCGCCAGTAGCTGCTAACCGCACAAGAATTGTGCCTCAAAGGCCCCATACAAAAAAAAACATTGCTAAGATACGGACTTTGGGCAACGATCATCGCGCTCCGAGCTCAACGACACGCGGAACGAAATTGCCTTCGCGCGTTCGCGCCGCCCCCCCCCCCCCGCGGAACAGGATGAGGGACTCGCGGCTCGCCAAAATCGCTCTGACCGCGAAGCGCGAAGCTCGAGTAACTTCGCACCCTCGCTGTGGCCCTGGCAAGCGTCTTTGGCCCACGCAGGGCCCGACTCCATATATGTGGCATCCTGCATTTACGAACAAGGGTGGGAAACGGGGGGGGCGCGGAGTTGGTCGCGGGTGGGTCGCGGGTGGGTCGCGGGGTGGGTCGCGGGTGGGTCGCGGGGTGGGTCGCGGGGGGGTGTCGCGGAGGCGGTCGCGAGCAACAACAACAACAATAACAATCACTTGAAAACGGTTCGTCCCTATCTGCTCGCGTGTCACTCAACATGTATAACACGAAATCATCGGTTTCCGTCCTCTTTGTCTTCGATCGTACCTATTTTGGCGTAGATTTGTCCCACCTGCAACGTGTAGATCGTGCAAACCCAAATGCAAATCAAGAGAAGACGGACGGAAGGAACGGACACGGGGGAGGGAAGAAAACGGAACAGGAGAGAAAGAGTTTAGCAGAGGGGGGGCTAGGAGCATAACCCGACGGGCAGATCGGGCGGGTAGACCCGAAGTGGCGGGTTGGGAAGGCGGGCCCGGGCGGCCAGGTCGACCAGGCGGGTTGCTGAAGCGTGCGTCCTACATGGATCGTCAAGAAGTCTCGAGCGATAGCGCGATTCCAAATGAATCGTGAGAGCTGCCATGGCGAGAGCGTGATTCCTGAGTATCGAGAGCGCGGTGCCTGAATCATTTGTGACGAAGTCCCACGCGAGAGCGCGATCCCTGCATTAACCGACTGCCCCTGATGTTAAACCTCCGGGGGAAATCAAATTCGGCTGGGTAAGAAACGCTGCCCTGGCCGATCGCAGCATAATGGACGTTGAGGAAGATGGTGATGATAATGACGGTGGTGATGCTCAAGCCCGCGCTCTGCACATCCTGAAGCTGGCTCGCGCTCTCGAAATACGGCTGGTACTCGCAATCGCAGTAGTAGTAGTAGTAGTAGTAGTAGTAGTAGTAGTAGTAGTAGTAGTAGTAGTAGTAGTAGTAGTAGTAGTAGTAGTAGTAGTAGTAGTAGTAGTAGTCGTCTAGTAGTAGTAGTAGTAGTAGTAGTAGTAGTAGTAGTAGTAGTAGTAGTAGTAGTAGTAGTAGTAGTAGTAGTAGGAGTAGTAGTAGTAGTAGGAGTAGTAGTAGTAGTAGTAGCAGTAGTAGTAGTGGTAGTAGTAGCAGCAGTAGAAGTAATAGTGGTAGTCGTAGTCATATAATGAAAACTACTAGTAGTAGTAAAGGTGATCACAATTGTAAATAACAATAATACATGGCAATACGTTGGCTGGTGATGTTGCTAGACAACACAACAAGAAAAACAACTTCGACTCGTCATTGCCACCCCTCTCCCCCGACCAAATCTGCGTGGGCGGGGATGTATAAATGGCAAGGGTTAAAGGGGGGGGATTTATTATCTGGGGGTCTCGGTAAATTGTGAGGCAGTCCCTCGCGAGAGCGCGATGTGTGAATGTGTTGAGAAGAAGTGTCGGGCGGGAGCCGATGTTGGAAACGGGGGGCAACAAAAAGCAACCCTGAAAGTCAAGATTGCAGGATAAAAGATAAAGTGCGAGCCCCGGGAAAGCACTTCCATTGAAACAACAATGTACCCTTGAGGGGGAATCAGCAATAACTCTTCTTTAAACATGAGAATGCAACAACAACCATCAATTTGTAATGGTCGCTCTTATATGCGCGAGTGACAGATTTAACACGTATATCCAACAAAAACCATCGATACCCGTCTTCTTCTTCGATCGTACCCCCTGGAACGTGTTGTTTATGCAGCCCCTGCGGCAAGGGGAAAGAGGACGGACGGCAGAAAGGGACAAGGGCGAGGGAGGAGGATTGAACACGAGAGAAACAGTAGTAGGAGGGGTGCTAGGCGCAGAAGACACGTGGCAGAACCAGACGGGCAGATCATGCGAGTAGACCCTAACAGGCGGGTCGGGAAGGCGGGCCCAGGCGGTCAGGTCGAGCAAGCGGGTTCCTGAAACGTGCGTCCTGCATGAATCGCGAGTCTCGTGCGACAGCGCGATTCCCAAGTAAATCGTGAGATAGGCCAAAGCGAGAGCGTGATTCCTGAAAGTCGACGGCGCGGCGCTTGAACTAATTGTGCGGACGTCCCACCCGAGAGCGCGATGTCTGCATAAATTGTGAGGGCGTCCCGTGCAAGAGCGCGATTTGGGAATATATTGCGAGGGTGTACCAGACGGGATACATTGTTGTTGTAATTCGGGGGCCTAGGGGCACAATTTGGTGACAATCATTTGCCCCTTGCTAAAGAACAGGGTGCGAGCCCCGGCAGGGGCGAGCCCCGGCAGGGGCTTGTAAAACATACCCTTATGTTTCTCTTGTAAGTTACCAGGCAGGGGGGGCCAACAATACTTGCTCTATACAAATATGAACTCACCAGCAGCAGCAAAAACAGCAGCAACAACAACAATCATGTCAAGACTGTTCGCTCATATCTGCTCGCGTGCCATTCAACACGTATACCCGAAACCCTCGATACCCACCCTCTGCGACTTCGATCGTATCCCCTGTGGGGGTATATCTTTCTTATCTGCAACGTGTATTTCGTGCAGCCCATAAGGCAAGGGAAAAGAGGACGGATGGAAGGAAGCTGGGCCCAGGCGGCCAGGTTCAGCGTGAATCGCGGGGAAGTGTCGACCGATAACGCGATTTCCAAATAGATCGTCTGGAACTCCAAAGCGAGAGCGTGATTCCTGAGTGTCGACGGCGCGGCGCTTGAACTAATTGTTAGAAGGCCCACGCGAGAGCGCGACTACTGTATACATTGTCCAGAAGTCCCGCGCAAGAGCGCGATTTAAGCATACACTTTGAGGAAATTGCTGGCGGGAGCCGTTGTTGTTATAGCTCGGGGCCCAACGAAGCAATTCGGTGACCCCTCGCATTCCCTGCTAAAAAAAACAAGGTGCGAGTCCGGGGGGAATCACCTTCATGAGAAACATACAGAGGGTTACCGGGCAGAGGGGCATGAACGATAATTACGCTTTAGAAGTGGGAATTCAACAACAACAACAACAACAACAACAACAACAACACCAACAACAACAACAACACTCATTTGAAGACTTGTGATATTACGCTCTCGCGCGCAATTCAAGACATGTATCCCAAACCCTATGTACCCGCCCTCTTCGTCTTCGAGCGTACCCCCTTCGGGGTATGTCTCCCTTACCTGCAGCATGTAATTGGTGCCACCCCTGAAACAATGGACGAGAAGACGGATAGAAAGGGGAGGGAGAAGGATTGAACCCGGGATTAGCAAAAGGGGGGCTAAGAGCAGGAAGGACGTGGCAAAACCAGACGAGCCCATCGGGTGGGTAGAGCCTAACGGGCGGGTCGGGAAAATGGGCCCAAGCGGCCAGGTCGAGCAGGCGGGTTGCTGGCGCGTGACTATAGCATAAATCGCGAGGAATCCTCGAGCAATAATGAAGGCCAAAGCAGGAGCACGATTCCCGAATGACGAGGGCGCGGCGTTTGAAGAAATTGCGAGGAGGCCCCTCGCGAGAACACGATGCCTGCATAACTTGTGAGCAAGCGCCGCGCGAGAGCGCGATTTTGGAATACATTGTGAGGAAGCATCACGCGGGAACCGTTGACTGCTGTTGTAACTCGGACGCAAGGGGGGAATTGGGTAACCTCTCGTTTTAGTTCGCATAAAGCTAAGTGCAAGCCCAGAAAGGAACACTTCAACTGATGAATACAAGCTGCCCTGGAGGGGGCGGCGTCAAGAGTACTGGACCGAGGCACCCTCCGTCTCGTCCCCCATCCCCCACGCAGGAAGCCCCTGTCTCGCTGGCTACCCACCCATCCCCCATCCCTATACGTGAAAAAAAAAGCACCCATACTTTGGTGGACAGAGGCACCCTCCGTCTCGCCCCCCATCCCCCACGCAGGAAGCCCCTGTCTCTCTGGCTATCCACTCATCTCCCATCCATACATGCGAAAAAGGTACCAATGGTTTGGCGGACCGAGGCGCCCTCCGTCTCGCCCCCCATCACCCACGCAAGAAGCCCCTGTCTCGCTCCCCAACCAAGCCTCCCCCATCCCCCACGGAGGAAGTCCCTACAACGTGCATTCCGTGCAGCACCCAAGGCAGGGGAAGAGAGAGCAGATGGAAGGAAGGGACAAGGACTGGACTGGACTGGACTGGACTGGACTCTGAGGCTCATGGTCAGCCTACAACACTGATATAAAGGCAATCAAGCACTACGCAAGAGAGACACAATACATCACAGAAAAAAGGAAAAGGTGGGGTCCCTACCCCACCGCGCCTGGTCCGCACCCTGCAGCACTGCAGAGGAG